CTGACTCTCACCAGTGGCTATGGATGAAGTCGCAGGCGATTTTCAGCCAGCACCAGAATAACTGAATATTTTCAATGGGTGAAAGACAACCTTGAAGAATTACAGGATTCTGCAAGCAAAAACCAAGAAGAGCTTAAAAAACAATTCAAAACAACACAGATTAAAAAAATGAGGCATTTGAAGCTCTAGAAAAACAAGAAAACCACAATAGAAAATATGAGGACCAATGTTTCAGATACTGTCAACATGTTGGAGTTACACATAAACAGAGTTGAAGAGATGGAACACAAAACTAGTGAAATAGAAGGCAAAAATGTCATCACTGGTCGGCTAGAACAAAAAAGCAGAAACAAAAAGGAAAGAAAAAGAATAAAACCTAAGAATAAAGTGGGACACCATCGAGATAAATCAAATGCACATAACTGAAATCCCAGAACAGGAAAAAGCAGGTAAAGACACAAAAAAAGTTGTGGAAGAATTACTAGAAGAAAACTTCCTAGGCATAATGAAGAATGACAGAATAGATATTCAAGGAGCTGAATGAACACCAAGGCATATCATAGTCAAATTTGCCAGAAACAAAGATAAGGAGAGAAGTCTTAAAGCAGTAAGAGAGAAACAAACAGTAATCTACAAGGGGGAGCAAATAAGATTAAGTGCTAAATTATTAGCAGAAACCATGTGAGCAAGAAAGCAAAGGAATAAAATATATAAAACACTCAAAGAACACAGCCACCCAAGAATACTATACCCAGCAAAAAACTTTCCATCAAATATGAAGGAGAGGTCAAGATATTCTCAGAAAAACAGAACCTAAGGTAGTTTGTAAAAACAAAACCAATGTTGCAGGAAACACTGAAAGACATACTTCTTACAGAAGTGCAACAGAAAGCAAAATGGACCAAAGTAACCAACAACAACAGAAAAAAAGTACTCAACAAAATGATAGCAGTAAAATCTTGCCTCTTCACTGAATGTGAATAGTTTAAATACACCACTGAAGAGAAAAGGAGTAGCAGATCAGATAAAAAAAACCAAAATCCATCACTATGCTGTCTACAAAGATACACACTTGAAAAGTGAAGATAAAGACTAAAAATAAAAGGGTAGGGAAAATATATACCAAGCACATGACAACCAGAAAAAAGCAGGAGTAGCAATATTAATATCTGATAAAATAAATTTCAATGCAAAAATCATCACAAAGGATGAGTCAGGTCACTTCATAATGCTTAAAGGGTCGCTAGAACAAGAGAACATTCCAATAACAAGTATCTATGCACCAAATGATAGAGCTGCAAAATATATAAAACAAACATTACCAAAACTGAAAAAGAGACACTGCTATTACAGTTGGAGACTTCAATACACCATTCTCAACAAAAGCTAGAACAGAAAGAAACTCAACAAAGATGTTTACCGCGGCTTTGTTTACAATAGCAAAGAGTTGGAAACAACCTAATTGCCCATCAACAAACGTATGGATAGAGAAGCGGTGGTATATTCCCACAATGAAATACTAGGCTACCATGGAAAACAAGGAACTCATGAAATATTATACAAAATGGATAATACTAGAGAACACTATACTGAGTGAAATATCTCAGTCACAAAAGGACAAATACTGCATAATGCCAATGTTATAAAACAGGACAGATGTGGGGGTTGGGGAGAAACTAAGAAAAGAGGATAACTAATGTACACTGCATTGAAACAGATGAGAGAAAGAACTGCTTAAAAGGAATATCTGATTAGCTATTATTTGAATACATACATACATACATATACATACATATATTTGTTCCTATCCCAAAGAAAGGTGACCCAACAGAGTGTGGAAACTATAGAACAATCTCACTGATTTCACATGCAAGCAAGATTTTACTGAAGATCATCCAAATACGACTGGAACAGCACATCAGCAGAGAACTACCAGAAGTCCAGGCTTGGTTTAGAAGGGGTCGTGGTACTAGGGATATTGTAGCTGACGTTAGATGGATCTTAGCTGAAAGCAGAGGAATGTCTATCTGTGTTTCATTGACTATGCAAACACATTTGACTGTGTGGATCATAACAAACTGTGGCTGACTCTGAGAAGAATGGG